TCTTTCGAAACTAACAAATTAGTCAACGAAAGCTGAGTCCAGCTCAATAGCTGAATGAAATGACATCCTTAGTTTACAAGTATATGTGCATGGTTTGTTGGAAGTGGATTATAAACTGTGATCAACACACACACACACACACACACACACGAAATAACAACACGCCTCTGATGAAGTGGGCTCTAGTCCACAGAAGCAAATGCCATAATTAATTTACAAAAAGGTGCCACAAGATTCTTCATTGTTGTTTTTCCTGCAACAAATTAACACTCTGGGAATGTCTATCTTCATAGTGGGGCTGCCTTTGAAAAATTTCAGTTAGTCTAAATACAGCAGGGAGCAGCCAAAGGGAATATATCTGCCATTTCTGAAACAACTGCATTGGCTGCTGGCCCATTTCCAAATTCAATTCAAAGTACTTGTGCTTATCTTAGCTCTCAATGGCTTCATGTCAAAGGACCTAGAGGGGCACCTTCTCCTACATTAAAGGTGACAAATCTTCTTAAGCTTGAGGGCCATATTCCCTTCTGGAACACCTTCTGAGGGCCGTGTGCCAGCAGTAGGCAGGGCTAGAAGCAAAGGTGGGCCAAGCAATGAATATAACTTTTATCATTGTACAGTAGGCTATTTTCTGCACACACTCACACAGTCTGTCTTTCATCCAGGAAAGCAAGAGGCCTAATGGGAGTTCAGTGGCACATTTCTGCCAGTCAAAAACACTCACGGTAATTGGTTCTCCAGTTCTGATGTTAAACCTTAGAGCACACTTGGCCAAACTGTGACTTGTCATATCCTACCACAGCGAAAGAGCAGGAAAAAGGAGTTGAAAGCAAATTCTTACAAAGTGTGCTTAGGAAGGGGCATACTAACAGTTCCACTGTTATTTGTACATGGGAATGGATGGCAGGCAAGTGCTATTTTCAGTAAAGACTGTAGTGTTTTATCTCTTTGCATAAAAATCCATCACACCAAAAAAACATTCATTAACTGCTGCGGCATGGGAAACAAAATTATTAGTGGGTGAAGAAATGCATGTGCCTGATAAATTTTATCCCTTTCAAACTGCGCGGAAACAGATGAATAAACATTACTGTATACATAGTCACTTAGATACCACTATTTGTACCACTTAATCCTAACACACCCTCTGTACATTTTCAGGCATGCTAAAGAGAATTCTGATACATTGTCTAATGAAATAAACACTAGAGCCATGGATTGATCCAAGGCCCTCTGTCCCAATGTATACTTCCTGCCTCAAATTCCCAAACAAAGATGCACTTTGTGTTTCTCAGCCTGGCTCCCCTGATTGAAACAAACTCATTTATAAGTCTAAATATTCTGTCAAATCAGTTTGTGCAAAGATTTATTGGGGTGTCGAGTTAAGCCACTCCAGGGCAAGCCTGGAAGGGGAAGGCAAAACATAAATCTTGAGCGCTGTCCCAGTTTCATAAGAGCCAGCAATGCAGACAAGTTTCTCGCGTACATCTTGTCTGGGGCTTCTGCATGTATAGGGCAATTGATTTTATTTCACAAATTAAGATGATTATTTCTATTAATCACTACGTATCACCTAGCAGTCAAAGGCATGTGTTCCTGGGGCCTGAGAGTACTCCTTGTCAAGGGCGAAGAAAAAAAAACAACACAGGATGAATGACAGACAAACTGGGCAGCTGGCCAAGAATTGCAAGAACAGCCCAGTAGTGTGGACAAGAAGTGGTTAGCTCTCCTCTTGACACAGAAATGCCTTCGAAAGCCCACTGAGTGTGTGGTGACATAATAAAGAGTCGCGCTTTGTGCGCTTGCCATGCTGCTTGAAAAGCTGGAACTGAATAAGTCATTCCCCCTTTTCACTCACCCACATTCAAAGCAAATCATATTGCCTTGTTTAGCTTTCCTTGAAACTATTACAGCTTAAGTAATTGTTAAACTCATTTGCTGACCTTTTAAGATAGGGATAGCAACTTTTTTGATGAAGGAGAACTGAGGGCTGCACTGACAGGCACCCCTCCAAGAGCCAAATACCAACGTGGGTGTGACTATTTACACACATCCCCTCACAAATTTACACACATGCTACCACATATGCAGGCACACAACATCCCTATCTGCACTATACATTTGAAGCAGTATCGTACCACTTGGAACAGTCATGGCTTGCTCCCCCCTGCAAAGCATCCTGGGAACTGTACTTTAAGTGTGCTGAGAGTTGTTGGAATACCCTTATTCTACCTGCAGAGCTACAGTTTCCAGAGTTCCCTTGGAAGAGGGACTGACTGTAAAACTGCTTAAAGAATCAGCAGCCTTAATAAACTACAGTTCCCAGGATTCTCTGGCAGGAGCCATGGCAGTTTTATGATGCTGCTTTAAATAAATAGTGCAGATGAGGCCTGATTCTCTCATTCTCACAGTCAATCTCCCCAGTCTTTCAGTGATGATTAAGGTGAGAGTAGGTATCTGTATAAGTAAAACAACTCAGACACTCCAAGCAAGTACCAGGGGTCAGCAAACTTTTTCAGCAGGGGGCCAGTCCACTGTCCCTCAGACCTTGTGGGGGGCCAGACTATATTTTTGGAAAGAAATGAATGAATTCCTATGCCCCACAAATAACCCAGAGATGCATTTTAAATAAAAGGACACATTCTATTCATGAAAAAACATGCTGATTCCTGGACCGTCCGCAGGCTGGATTTAGAAGGCAATTGGGCCGGATCTGGCCTCCGGGCGGCCTTAGTTTGCCTACCCATGAAGTAGACACTTCACATTTTACAGCATACTAGCAAATGTGGATTCTGAAGGCAATTTTCATATTCTAGACCTCCTAGGTGGGTACCCTCAGTTTTTGACTTGTTCTAATCTTGAGTGGTGACCCAGTCCCAGCTGACAGTGGTCTGTGTTTCTCTTGTAAGTCTACATTTGATGTGGTTTGCGGTGCTACACAAAAAATAAAATAAAAAATGGTTTTGTGTGCGGTGATGTCTGAGTATGACCAACTCACCCAGGGCAGAGAGCCAACATACACATCCATTTCAAGTGGCTTTCCAGTGGTCACCATTCACAGGATGTCCTTAGAATCATAGAATCATAGAGTTGGAAGAGACCACAAGGGCCATCGAGTCCAACCCCCTGCCAAGCAGGAAACACCATCAGAGCACTCCTGACATATGGTTGTCAAGCCTCTGCTTAAAGACCTCCAAAGAAGGAGACTCCACCACACTCCTTGGCAGCAAATTCCACTGTCAAACAGCTCTTACTGTCAGGAAGTTCTTCCTAATGTTTAGGTGGAATCTTCTTTCTTGTAGTTTGGATCCATTGCTCCATGTCCGCTTCTCTGGAGCAGCAGAAAACAACCTTTCTCCCTCCTCTGTGTGACATCCTTTTATATATTTGAACATGGCTATCATATCACCCCTTAACCTCCTCTTCTCTAGGCTAAACATGCCCAGCTCCCTTAGCCGTTCCTCATAAGGCATTGTTTCCAGGCCTTTGACCATTTTGGTTGCCCTCCTCTGGACATGTTCCAGTTTGTCAGTGTCCTTCTTGAACTGTGGTGCCCAGAACTGGACACAGTACTCCAGGTGAGGTCTGACCAGAGCAGAATACAGTGGCACTATTACTTCGCTTGATCTAGATGCTATACTCCTATTGATGCGGCCCAGAATTGCATTGGCTTTTTTAGCTGCCGTGTCACACTGTTGGCTCATGTCAGGTTTGTGGTCAACCAAGACTCCTAGATCCTTTTCACATGTACTGCTCTCAAGCCAGGTGTCACCCATCTTGTATTTGTGCCTCTCATTTTTTTTGCCCAAGTGCAATACTTTACATTTCTCCCTGTTTGTTTCATCTTGTTTGTTTTGGCCCAGTTCTCTAATCTGTCAAGGTCGTTTTGAAGTGTGATCCTGTCCTCTGGGATGTTAGCCACCCCTCCCAGTTTGGTGTCATCTGCAAATTTGATCAGGATGCCCTTGAGTCCATCATCCAAGTCGTTGATAAAGATGTTGAATAAGACCGGGCCCAAGACAGAACCCTGTGGCACCCCACTAGTCACTCTTCTCCAGGATGAAGAGGAACCATTGATGAGCACCCTTTGGGTTCGGTCAGTCAGCCAGTTACAAATCCACTGAGTGGTAGCATAGTCAAGACCGCATTTTACCAGCTTCTTTACAAGAATATCATGGGGCACCTTGTCAAATGCCTTGCTGAAATCAAGGTAGGCTACATCCACTGCGTTCCCTTCATCTACTAGGCTTGTAATTCTGTCAAAAAACGAGATCAGGTTAGTCTGACATGACTTATTTTTCAGAAATCCATGCTGACTATTGGTGATCACAGCATTCCTTTCTAGGTGCTCACAGAATGTTTGCTTAATGATCTGCTCCAGAATCTTCCCTGGTATTGATGTCAGACTGACTGGGCGGTAATTATTTGGGTCCTCTCTTTTCCCCTTTTTGAAAATAGGGACAACATTTGCCCTCCTCCAGTCTGCCGGGACTTCGCCTGTTCTCCAGGAATTCTCAAAGATGACTGCCAGTGGTTCTGAGATCACATCTGCCAGTTCTTTTAATACTCTTGGATGCAGTTCATCTGGCCCTGGAGACTTGAATACATCTAAACTAGCCAAGTATTCTTGTACTATCTCCTTAGTTATTCTGGGCTGTGTTTCCTCTGCTGAATCATTTGCTCCAAATTCTTCAGGTCGGGCATTGTTTTCTTTATCAGAGAAGACTGAGGCAAAGAAGGCATTGAGGAGTTCAGTCCTTTCTGTGTCCCCTGTTTGCATTTCACCATCTTCTCCTCTGAGTGACCCCACTGTTTCTTTGTTCTTCCTTTTGCTACGAACATACCCATAAAAGCCTTTTTGTTGCTTTTAACCTCTCTAGCAAGCCTGAGTTCATTCTGTGCTTTAGCTTTTCTGACTTTGTGTCTACACGTGCTGGCTATTTGTTTGAATTCCTCTTTGGTGGTTTCCCCCTTTTCCATTTTTGTACACATCCTTTGTAATCTTAACTCAGTTAAAAGTTCTTTAGATAGCCACCCTGGCTTCTTTAGGCACCTTCCATGTTTCCGTCTCATTGGTATTGCCTGAAGTTGTGCTTTTACTATCTCCCTCTTAACAAACTCCCAGCCATCATGAACTCCCTTTCCTTTTAGTATTACTGTCCATGGGATCTCACCCAGCACTTCCCTAAGTTTTATGAAGTCGGCTTTCTTAAAGTCAAGAAATTGAGTCCTAGTATGCTTGGCTGCTCCTTTCCGCTGTATAGTAAACTTCAGAAGAGCATGATCACTCGCGCCTAATGATCCTTCCACTTCTACCCCACTAACCAGGTCATCAACATTGGTTAGGACCAGATCTAAAATGGCTGTTCCTCTTGTTGCATCTCCCACTTTCTGGACAATGAAGTTGTCTGCAAGGCCATTGAGGAATCTGTTTGACCTTATGCTCTTGGCTGAGTTTGACATCCAACAAATATCCGGGTAATTGAAGTCCCCCATTACTACTATCTCCCTTCCTTTTGCATGCTTGGCCATCTGTTCCAGGAAGGCATCTTCTATGTCCTCCGTTTGGCTTGGGGATCTATAGTAAACTCCCACAATGAGGTCACTGTTATTCTTCTCTCCCTTAATTTTGACCCAAATGCTCTCACTTTGGCTTTGAGGTTCTAAATCTTGGATCTCTTCACAGTTATACACATCCCTGACATTTAACGCCACTCCTCCTCCTTTCTTGTCTGGTCTGTTTCTCTGAAATAGATTGTATCCCTCCATTATTACATTCCAATCGTGGGACTTATCCCACCAGGTTTCAGTGATGCCTATTATGTCATATTTAGTTTGCTGTACCAAGAGCTCAAGCTCATCTTGTTTATTTCCCATGCTTTGCGCATTAGTGTACAGACATTGAAGTCCATTAATCATTCCCCCTTGACTCTTATTTAAGGATTTTTTCCTCCCACCACTAGGTCTGCGTGCTGTTTGCTCCATTTGGTCTATGACATTTGGATGATCATCTTCATCAATTGATAGACTCCTACCTTCAGGAGCACTGTCTCCCTCCCCACATTAGTCAGTTTAAAGCCCTCCTGATGAGGTTTCTGAGATTTTTGGCAAAAACATTCCTCCCAACCGTTGTGAGGTGCAGCCCATCGCTTGCCAGAAGTCCATCTTCAAGAAACTGCAGTCCGTGATCTAAGAATCCAAACCGTTCCTGTTTACACCATTTGCGAAGCCAGCTGTTCACTTCCACTATTTTTCCTTCTCTCCCTGGGCCATGTCGTTCAACTGGGAGGACAGATGAGATGACAATTTGAGCATTTAATTGCTTCAATTTCCTGCCCAGAGCCTCGTAGTCTCTTTTGATCTTCTGGAGGCTATTGCTTGCAGTGTCATTGGTTCCCACATGAACCAAGAGGAAGGGGTATTTGTCAGTGGGTTTTATGATTCCTTGCAGTCGTTCAGTTACATCTTGGATCTTAGCCCCAGGGAGACAGCACACTTCCCGAGACATCTTGTCAGGCCCACAGATCACTGCTTCTGTTCCCCTCAGTATGGAATCCCCTATCACCACTACACGCCTCCTCTTAGGTTTGGTCGGGGTTCTTCCATGAGCTGTTCGTTCCAAGGTCGCCTGCACATTCCCTGAGGACTGACTTTGCTGCTCGTCTTCATATACCTGATCGACTGTAATGAGGGAGAGATCCTCAAATGGAGTCTGCTCTTCGTCTTCCATGCTAGGGAGAGGACCTCAAAGCGATTGTGTATTTCTAAACAATCAGAGCGAACCCTGGGCCTCCTACTTCTTTGAGTCACGTTTCTCCATATATCTAGCTCCTGTGTTGGTGAACTAGCCTCCTTCTCAGGGAGTCCCCTGTCTCCTCCTTGGTGGAGACGGTGTGCTCTGTTGCTTCCAAGAAGAGCTCCAGCTCTCTAATTCTTTGGAGCGTAGCTACACGTTCCTCCAGTTGCTGGACTTTGTCTTCTAAGAGGGCAATCAACATGCAATTGCTGCAGGTAAAGCTGCCTGCAACCTTTGGCAAGATGGCAAACATTGCGCAGGAACCGCAGGCGACTGCAGCTGTTCCCTCCCCCTCCATCTTGAGAACATGTCGTTGGGGGTGGCTACAGCGGTCCTCCATCATAAAAAGCGTGAAGACAGGACAAATAACTCCCACCAAAAAAAACCCCAAACCCTAGGTCTCCCCCAACAAACGTTTGAGACTAGGTCCCCTAAATCTAAAAGATGGCTCAAACTGCTTGTGAACTTGGTCTCAGTAGCTTGCAGTTTCTTCCTAAGGGTAATTTTACCAAGTCGTGAAATCGGTGCTGCATGGGCTCTGCATGCCTCGATGTGCCTCAGGGTGTTATATATGAATGAATCATAGAATCATAGAATCAAAGAATCATAGAGTTGGAAGAGACCACAAGGGCCATCGAGTCCAATGGCTTTCACTTCCCTACTAACTGAACACAGGACAGAATGGGGAGGAGGATCCCCATGTGAATTTTACACTTTACACCTGAATAACCCGGGCCTCAGAACTTTAGTCTTACAGACAGTGTGTCATTCCCTTTGGAAAAGTCTGGTGATTTTTCTTTAAGCCAGCATTAAACTTTCTGCAGCTAGCATTACCTTCAGTCATTAAAATCTGTTTTAGCCATCTGCCAGGCTGATACAAACGCTTGGCAAGCACCTTTTCATAGGATACGTTAAGAATAAAATACTGGAATTTTAGACATTTGGGAATCATATAGTTTACAACTTTATGTTTAACTAAATGAGATGTATCACTGTTTAATAATATATGGATTTCAGGGGCATGCATATTACCATTCTAGGTGGGGGAGAAGCCAGGTTGCAGTTTAAGGGCAGAAATGTCACCAACAGTAAATTTATAAATGAGCAATTAGGTTTCTAGGTGTCACTTCATACTATTGGTGCATTCAGTGGTGCCTGTTAGATTGAGACCAGACAGGAATTTATTTTAGATTAATCTTATCAAGCTAGGTAGCTGTCAAAACCATAGGAAATGTTCCTTTTGTGTATGTATATCACTTGACTCAGTTGATAGACTATAGAGTCCACATTACACAAGATGTGAATCATCAGAACCTACCCCTCATCTTCTTACTGTAACACCTCTATAAAGAACCTTTCTCCTCTGTTATTTCCATTACACACTTCTGAAGTGCTTCCTAAAGATTTACAATAATGGATGTGAAAAGAAACAGATGAAACAGATTGACCAGGATGACCTTTCTAGTGTTTAACAGAGATACTTTTTCAAAATGGTTTCTTGCATATTTACAGGCTTTTCCTTTTAAAGAAGCCTTCTCTTTTTGACTCTGCCTTCCATAGTCTGGGATATCAACAAAAAGTCCACCGAGTGACATGGATATTCCTGCTTTTCCAAAACACCTTCTGTGCACGTGGGGTTCTTGTTACACCCCCTGCCTCCCCCCCAAAGACCCATTTCACAAACTGATGTGCATTATAGCAAGAGGCTGGGGTGGTTTGTACTGCAAAATCTGATCTGCAAGCACACATACACAGTTTGGTGTCCAGAATTCATTTGAGCAGATTCTATCTCCACTCACAAGCACTTACACTGCAGAAAGGATGCACACTATTTTCAGTGATTCCTTCTTTCATTTGCACAAGCTTCTGAAAAACTGTTCCAGAAAACTGAGGAACCTTCTAGAACAATTAGAGAGATGATGCAGGGATCTGCAGGTAGATGGGGGAATTGGACAAAATCAGCTCTCCTTTCCAACTGTCCCTTCCACAAATGGAAGAAGCCCTTTCCTTTGCAGAAGGGACACTCTGAATACAATCCAGTGTCATCGTCCCCCTCCTTAATGTTGAACATTAGACTCTGCTCACAAACATCTTGATCTAGCTCTAGGTGTATGCAGTGTTGCATGATCACTTGCGCTGATTTATTTTATTTATGGAAAATACTGCTAACTCACAACAGAAAAATACCAAAGTGGTTCACAACAACTATACAAAGAACCATACAATAAAAACCATATAAAAAGGTTACAATAAAAACCGTATTTTAAAAAGTTTAAATAAGAAATCAGGTAATCATTGTGGAAAGAGGTGTTCTGAACTGCTCACATAAACCTGACAGAACAGAAAGGTTTTCAGCAGTTGAAACAGAAGAAGCCTACTGAATTTCTGTTGGCGGAGTATTATTCCACAGGGCTGGATTGATGACATTAAAGCTCTATTACTTGCTGCTGTCAAATGAGCCTCAAGCAATGGCCAGTGAGTGACATTTCTACAGATGATCTCAGTGACTGAGCTGAGATATAAGGATTTTGGAAGTTCCTGAGATACCCTGGACCTAAGCTATTCAGGGCTTTGCAAATTAATGCAAGGGCCTTGAAACTGGCCCAGCTGTAGCAGCCAGTGCAGATGCTTTAACAACAGGGTCACGTGTTGTTATTCAGAAGCCCCCATCAGCAATTGCAGGGGCATTCCATGGAGAGCAATGCTGTGCTGATAGACCCAGGCACTTCAATGTACCTTTTATACAGTGAAGTGTCTTCAACCTGTGTTCTTCACCACTACTTTCCTTGTGTGGAATCTGTACATCCAGCAGTCAATTGCTGTTGTTTTCTCTAAAGAAGCAAACCCACTGGAAATAAGAAAAGGGTGTGACAAGTGCCACAGCCAATATAACAACAGCCACATCAGAAATCAAGAAAAGCCATTTACAGATTATTCACATTTTCAATTGCATTTTGAAAAAGGATAGGAAAAAAATATATATTTGTTCTGTTTCCCAGATATTGGAAGTAGTCTGGTTTGTCATTAACACCCCCCACACAAACACACACCCATACCTACTAAATGAACAGGGTGACCAGCAATTATCCCAGGTAGCAACTGGTAGCAATGGGGTGCAGCACAAATTAATATCATATTTCAACGCCTCTCCTACTTAGAATGACACTAACAAATACAGAGGGGAAGCCTTTTGGCAAAATGCTTGCAAATAGTCACTGAGTTACATTAGAACTCTAATGTAAACATTTAGGGGGAACATGTAATGAATTGCATTTCCTCTGCAAGAACTGGGTTTCTAAACAGAAGTAAAAATAGCCCCAACAGAGAAAATTCAGTGTTCCCCCCCCCCAAACCCAGTAATAATCAGAATCCCTAGCAAAGGCCAGATATCATTGCAAGATGCAGAATGAGGCGGCTGAGTTTGCAGGATAAGTCTTTGCTGGTTACTTTGTTACTGTCTTCACAACTGAAGCATTATCTGCAAAATGCTGACAGCTCTCTTCTCTACACCTCTTACAGTAGAGGCAGAGGGTAGCTAGAGTGGCTTAGGCCTGTATTTTCAACCTTGGAATAAAAGGAAGACCGCTTCCTTGATTCAAGGCTATCTCTGGGAAAGGCATCCAGACTTCCAAAGCCGTTTTGGACTTTGCAGATGAGTCATTTTGGGAGCTAACAGAAGGAAGAGAGAGATGAAAAGAGGTTTCGAAAGTAGTCTAACCTCAGAGGACTGAAAAGCTCCTGTCAAAGACCATATGAGGACAGTGAGGAGTAAATACCTAAACCAGGTTTCTTCAACCTCTTCAAACCAAGGAGCCCCCGTTATAATAATAATATTTATTATTATTATTTATACCCAGCTGGGTTTCCCCAGACACTATGGGCGGCTCCCAACAGATTAAAAACGGAATAAAACAGGCATAGGCAAACTCCAGCCCTCCAGATGTTTGGGGCTACAATTCCCATCATCCCTGACCACTGGTCCTGTTAGATAGGGATGATGGGAATTGTAGTCCCAAACATCTGCAGGGCCAGAGTTTGCCTATGCCTGGAATAAAACATCAAACATTAAAAACTTCCCTCAACAGGGCTGCCTTTAGATGTCTTCTAAAAGTCAGGTAGTTGTTTATTTCCTTGACATCTGATGGGAGGGTGTTCCACAAGGCAGGTGCCACCACCAAGAAGGCCCTCTGCCTGGTTCCCTGTAACTTTGCTTCTCGCAATGAGGGAACCCCCAGAAGGCCCTCAGAGCTGGACCTGAGTGTCCCGGCAGAAGCACACACCCATTTGGACACCCATTTCTTATTTTGTTTTACCAAATATATGCATAGTACTAGCACTCCTGTTGTGATCCAGCTTGAATCTGGCTACAACCCATTGGTGGATCTCAAGCCACCAATGATCTTAAGCACTAAACCACCAATAAGTGGGAGCAGGGAGAGGGAGAAGGAGAGGGAGGGAGGGAGGGAGGGAGGGAAGGGATACCCAACTCCCTTGCTAGCTTAGAAGGATTTTCTTCCACACTACCCTGTGACAACACACGCTAAGAACTTTGTAACTTTGTATGGTACCTATTAATGGCAAGAAGAATGTGCCGAAAGTTCACTTACTAAGGTAGAGGCTATAAAATTGTCCATAATAGAGCAATTAAATCATAAAGAGATATGGCTAGCATCTGAGTTAATTTATAGATTTTTATTTTTATTTTAGATTCCCATCAAAATCTCCAAATCTTCAACATTACTTAATCACTCTGGAGACCATGGCAAAACAGTGAAACTGCTTAGTTCTCCTTTTTTGCATACCATTCATTTGCAGAGCAAACTTATTATGTAAAAATGACATCCTAACAGTGAAATATAATATCCACTAATGATTTTTGCAGATATAGTCGTAGAGCAGTAACAAATTTCATCAGTGTCAACCTCTGAAGGAAAACAAGGATTGTAACCAAAGAAGAATGATGAAAAATTAATTGGTTGGATGAAGCATTTGAAGGCTGAAACAATGAAATGAGAACTAGTGAGCATGTTAAGGAGAGCATCATCCTGCGTTTCAAGTATAAACCTAGTTCAACTTCCATATCTATTTTTTTAAAAAAAGACAATACAATAGATGCCTGCCTTGGAGACTGAGATACTATAAGCTTTCTGTACACCACCCGTATTTCAAGAATGAGCTCCAGGAATATCTCCACAATCCATGCCAGGCTGTGATAGGCAAAGAGGGGGGAGAGGAGGATGAAATTGGCAAAGAGCTGAGACCAGGAAAGAGAGACTAGAAGAGGCAGGTACTCTCCTCCCCCAGAAACCAGGAGCTCTGGACTGGGAGGCAGGAATCTGGCCTTTTCTCTTCCTTCCCAGGAACAGGAGAACATCAGTGGAGTCAAGAGTGGGCTTCAACCAACTGCTGGAGGTGGGGGAACCAGAGTCATGAGGGGGAATAACAGCTGAGCCGCTCAGGACCAGATGATGTTTCCACCACTGAAACAGACCCATCCTCCTCAATCTGCATACTTAACATTCCCGCAAGGCACAGCAGCCTTGCAAGTAAGCTCGCCTAACCTCACCTTTACAAGCTTGGTGGATGGGTGTGTCAACTCATTGGGAAAACTCTGTTGCTTCTATGCTGTTCTGAACTCCTTGCCTTGTTTCTTGGACTCCTTAAACTTGGACTTTTGCTTATGGCCCAGCTAATCCCACTGTTCCTATTATTTGTTCTGAACTTTGAGGCTGCTGTGACTCTATGTCTGTTGCTGAGCCTGCACCATTAATCTGCCTCAGTAAATATGAATAAACTATTAAGAAGATAAATTTGGGGGAAAGAAAAAGGATTTTTAAATGTTATATATAATCATGATTATATCAACAACTGTATGGAAATGTTTTCAAATACTACATTAAAAAAGTTTAAATGTTTCAAGAAAAAAGTAGAATTTTTAATTTAATCAAAATAAATACTTGCATTTATTTCCCGTTCTTAGGAAGCTAATAGCCATTCAGTCAGGAAATCCTCTTCCTCAGTAAGTCAATTAGGGTTTGAATAAAACTGCAGGTCAGTAGCAAATGACAAGTGCATTTGTCATCTTCATAAGATGACTGAAAAGCAAAGACTGGTTTGATTTAAATTCAGTTAGCACGTACCAATTATTAGGGATTGGTAACATTTTATTTTAACTGCTGCTAAACTAATCTTGTTTACTCTAAACTGAAATATGTATTATAAATACATATAATGTTCTTTAAGTGGGAAAAGCAACCTACAAAACTCTCCCGTTTAGTGCTTAGAAATTCTTTATAAAGTTGGCTGTGACTGATGCTAACACCTTTACTACATAGCTTCACAGTAGGAGTTCTTTGCCTTGTTAGCAAAACCAGACAAAAGCCATAGAGCGAAAAAAAAATGAATGAAGCCATTTGTATCTTCAAAAGACTTCAGGGTAAAAAACAGCAGAGCACCTGCTGGTTTTTCTATCCTCAAGCATGCTTGACTGAAGCCTAAACCCATAATAATTTCTGATCTATAAAGTTCACAGTGGCAATTAAGAATGTTGCAAACTACTTGTGCTCCTGGGAGAATCCCTCTGAATTCAACAGTGTTTCTAAGTTAACATCTTTTGAACCACATCCTAGGTGCTCTAAGAAGCAGAACGGATTGACTGGGAAACCAAGGAGAATAAGGAGTGATGATCTAGCAGGAAGGGGGTGCGGGACTCACCTGATCCCAATAGACAGTTTTATTCTGTTTTTAGTGATCTGTCGGGAGCCGCCAGAGTGGCTGGTGAAACCCAGCCAGATGGGAGGGGTACAAATAATAATAACAATATTATTATTATTATTATTATTATTATTATTATTATTATTAGATCCTATTGCATATGGGATAGGCTATGTATCAGCAAGTGAGATAACCAGGAAATCTTCCTCTAATTAAACTGGCACAGTTTGCCAATATCTAGCCATCTGAAACTGCAAGTAACCAAACATTTTATTAGGCTACCAAGGAAAGCTTTAAGTGTTCAGAATTAAAGTGAAAGAATACCAGAAACAAGACCACAGCATCCAAGGACTATTTTTTGATTCAGCCAGAGAAGCTCCACTGAGTCTTCATGAGACATCTAATGAGCTTGCACAAATACTACATAGATGATAAAGGAAGTAAGGCTTGTGCTGTACATGAACTGGAAATGTTGAACAGGGTATGAATGCTGGCAGTGCCAAAAGAATTGAAAGGAATAGCTTTGTCCACCTCAGCAGTTCTTTGTGTGATGTGATACATACCTATATTTGTGCAAGTAGTGGTGGTTATCCATACCACACTGCATGAACTGACACCACTTCTACTTCATTTCCCTATTTTTTTTCCATGCACGTCAATGAAGAGGCATGAGCATTTGCATGAAGATTGAGACTGAAGTTGTGTATCATACCGTCAATTGCCTAAAACCTTCCATTGCTACTTTTGGGAAGTGGGACTGAAACTAAATCACTGCACTAATGGCTCTAATTGGTTCTGTAGCAAACAGTGTTTTAAAAACACATAGTGGTACCTCAGGTTAAGTACTTAATTCGTTCCAGAGGTCCATTCTTAACCTGAAACTGTTCTTAACCTGAAGCACCACTTTAGCTAATGGGGCCTCCTGCTGCCGCCGTGCCGCCGGAGCACGATTTCTGTTCTCATCTTGAGAGGTACCACGGTATCTTAGAACCTCCCTGACACTAAAAACTAGCTATTTCATAATACCTCTCAAGGCCTCCATCTTCTTTCGTTGTCTACAATATACTAACTGGGAAGTGTGCAGAATTATGCAATTGGACAAATTCAGCATCCATTTAAAAACAAAACACCACAACCATGAGCTTGTAGTTCTGGCATGAGAGACTCGCAAATTTGTGGAAAATACACAAAAGAATATTTCAGGACAGTGAGAGGCTAAAAAACCTGAAATGAAATATGACTAGGATGAAACAGGAAGGCGAATGAGAAGCATGCCCACAGGGGCATCAGAGAGGGGCCAAATGAAGATGTTTGTGAGCTGGAACTGCTTGAGATGCAAAGAACTGAGGGCAGGAGTCTGATGAGATTAAAATAAGAAAACAAACCCTGGAAATGCGGTTGAACTGTAACTAGAAGCAGGGTGCCGCCATTCGAAGGAAGGTCAGTATGTTTGCTGTTAGTGGCAGCTGAGAAATGTGAGCTGGGAGTGCAATATTGGGTTTTTTGAATAGGGTTTATGGCAATGCATATCCTATGTGCAAAGCTGAGAAACAATGCTAAGTGAAACATCATTAGAAAAATGAGGATTAGAGAGATGGCGACAGAAATAAGTAAAGTTGTCAAGATTACTGCTGTATTGATAATTCATTGGATTATTTCTAACTGAGATGTTTGTGCTGTTTTAAATTGCAGTTATGTCAATCAGCGCAAGAATTTCAATGTTTAATTCACTGGTGGTGTTTGGTAAAATATTCCTCTGATTTCCATCTATGAGAAAAAATGAGTATCACTGTTGCATTAATCAGTATGCTATTTCAGACTGTGGTACAGCTCATAACCCTACATACTTAGCAGTGAACTATTTTAGTTTATTTTATTTTATAATCCACTCTTCCTTCCAGGACCTCAAGGTGGCATACATGGTTCTTCCCCCTCCCTCACAACAACCTCATAACTTTTTGGCTACATGTAGTGGTCAGGCTGTCGGACCTGAGAGACCAGGTCTCAAATCCCTACTCAGCCACGAAGTTCACTGGATGACCTTGGGTCAGTCACTCTATCTCAGCCTAACCTACCCCACAGACATTTTGTGAGAATAGAATTAGGGGGACAGAGGCAGATTTAAGGCAGCATGACCGGTCCACCGCACTGAGCATCAAGCCTAAGAGATGCTACAGGGTGTTGCAATGATTTTTTTTTAAAAAAAAATATTTTATTAAGGATTTTCTTGTTTTACAGAAGTGTAGTGCCTCGTATTTTTTTCCCCATGTAACATTTTTACAAATCCGTTTCATTTGTTGAGGCATTAGGGGGAGAAGAAGAAAAAAAAATTGAAAAATGCAAAGGGGGGGTGGCGTGTGGGAAGATGGATGGGGTGGGGTCGGGTGGCGGTGTTTCTATTATGTTTAATGTATGTAGAGTTTGGTGTCAGCGTTGCTTGTGTTGTTCACTTGTGTTCCTTTGGTGGTGAGAGAGGTTGGGGTTGGCCTAGGGTGTGATTGTTTGCTTGTGATTGGCTGTGGTGATCTTTGTTTTCGTGTGTGAGTGAGGTGGGTGGGTGTTTTGGATCAGGTTAGCCATATTGATTTGTATGCTGTTGGTGGATTATTGTCATTGTCCTGTTGGGCTGTGTATGTGATAAATGGGAGCCATACCGGGTGAAGGCATCTTCTTCTGTTTGTCCCCGTGTCAGTTTCAGTTTATTAGTTAATTTTTCTAGTAGGGCTGTTTCCCATACTATTTGGTACCATTGGTCCATGCTTACTCCTGACAGGTCTCTCCAGTGTCTGGTTATGGTGTTTCTGGCTGCTGAGAGCAGGTGGGTTATGAGTTCTTTGTGGTGTAAATGGGCATTGTTGTCTTGGAAGATGTTTAGTAGGGCCAATTCTGGGGTGATGTCTATTACTTGCTTAGTTATTTTACATATTTCTTGTATGGCTGTTGTCCAGAATAGTTGGATTTTGGGACACTCCCACCACATGTGGAGGTATGTGCCTGTGGAGGTGCATTTTGGTGAGGTTCCTGGGTGTATTAGCGCTAGTTTCCTTGGTGTTAGGTACCACCTGTAGGTGAGTTTCAGTGTGAGTTCTTTTCTTTTCGTTGATGATGCCGTGAACTGAACAGAATGAAAGGAGAGAGGTTGGGGGGATGCCAAATGTTGGGCTCACACAGGGCACTGCTGAAATTTGAATGACCAAAGTCTACTCCTGAGGGGGAGAACCATGTACACTACTTTGACTTCCTTTGAGGAAACATGGGATACAAACGTAAATAACAATTCAGCTTGCCAAAATGTCCAACCACTGACTATTCCTAGAAACAAACCCGTAAAATAGTGTGCTTAGTATTCTAGTTCTGCATGAAGTGCTTACAGATAGGCAGTGACTTTGGTAACTTGAGAGACCAGCAAAAGCTGCAAAGAAAAGAAAAATCTATACATTATATTAATACTGAAATATATTGTGTTAGACCATTGTAAATTCTAAATGAATCCAATTGCATCAATGGCCTTCTTCTCACATTACACAAAGTGTCTTATAAGCTCACTTTTGCTGAGCAAGACCTCCGAAGCAAAGATGGGGGGGGAAAGGTTAATCAAAACATGCGAGTGCAAAAATGCAAACTACTCAGATCTGTCAAAATTAATGATGGTGGCAAGAAGGAAACAATACAGTTCTCCTTTCTAGACTGCCAGAACCTGCATGGTCTGCGTCATGTTAATAAATGTTGTAGAAAAAAACTATGCTGCTCCTCTAGTTGTGGCATTTATGTATTTTATAGTCTATGATTTTAAATGCAAGAGGGAATACTCTATTAAACAATGGAATCTCCTGCAATCTGAATGGCCTCTTCAGGGCACAGAAAATTCTAAACATTCCCTTAGCATTCCACAGAAAATATATATGCTAAAGGCCAACTTATAAGGGGAAATTCGTACACAAAAAAAGGTAGACTGGGCATACCATTCAAAACAGGTTTACATCCGGATATCCCAAACACAGAACCAAACCACGCATTATGCTAAATGCCTAGTTTGCACTTGTATTGTTAAATCTAAAAGGTAGCATAATCCAGAATGGAACTTGAGCAGAGAGGGATTAATTTTTCGCAACACACCATACAGCCACAAGTGGCACAGAGTGCTTAAAAAAACAACCACCATGGAGAAAAATGAAAACAGTAACAATCCCCTCCTAAAGATTTTGGTGAAATTTCTTCTTTGCCTCCACTCTCCATCAATCTTCCTTGTTTTTTTTACCCATCCAATCAATGAATGTTTGGGGGGGGGGAGGTTTGAAATCTTCAGCACAGCTCTAGTTAAAAATAACAAATCTGAATCTGAATCTATGTCCAAATGATTTTGTTTCTACAGCATCAATTCCTAGTGCTGCATTTATTGTTACATTATCTCTGTTGAATTCAGACCTTACTTATTAGCTTACATTCCTAAGATTGTTGCTGCCTGTCTGCATCTCATATACAGCTTTACGTATCTCCAAAGACGATATTCAATATTCACTGTGTTATGCAGCCAGATCTGAAACCTACTGCCAACTATAAAGATATCATACATTCAATTCTTATTTAATGAGAGTGTAGCTCATAAATTATATCAGCTTTTTTAGAGAGAGAGAGAGAGAGAGAGAGAAATGGAGTGGTATCAAAATGATGTGTCACCAAGTGCATATTTCGTTGGAAAAATGCAAGGTCAAAGGCCCATTTAGGCCACAGCCTAAGCACATGCAGACTTGAATGCAGAGTTCTACTGAAATAAGAGACTTATTTTCAAGAACTGGCTGGAATCCAAAAAGCTACTTTAGGTGAGTACAAGACCTAGCGGGTACCCAGTGGGATTTTCAAATGTTGTTCTTTCAACAAGAGACCCCCATATCACAAGATGTTTCGAAACTTCTTTCAGTTTCAAAACTACTTTGCAATTTGGTATACGGGAACCCTATCCAAAGGTCCCTTTGGCACACACAGCTAGTCGCAACCTGAGGAGAGACTCTAAAGACGACCTCAGTATGCAGGCAGGCTGGTATGGGAACAAGCATTCATTCAAGTACAGTGGTACCTCGGGTTACAGACGCTTCAGGTTACAGACTCCGCCAACCCAGAAACAGTACCTCAGGTTAAGAACTTTGCTTCAGAATGAGAACAGAAATCGTGCGGCGGCGGTGCAGAGGCAGGCCCCATTAGCTAAAGTGGTACATCAGGTTAAGAACAGTTTCAGGTTAAGAACGGACCTACAGAACGAATGAAGTTCTTAACCCCAGGTACCACTATATCTTGGTTCTAACCTTTTAATGCAATTTAACACCAGCACTTTGAATTGTGCTTGGAAAAAGACCAGAAGGCAGTGCTGTTTTTGCAGTGTCTTTAAAATACACCAGGCCCAAGCTGTGTACCCACCATACATTTGGTGCACATTTAAAACACATTCCCCCGAAACCCGAGAACTACAGTTTATCTCAGCATCCTAAACAAACTAAAGTTTCCAGGATTCTTAGGGGGAAATGGGCTTTAAATGTATACTGTGTTCACTGCCTCAACCTAGTAGATGTACTTAACTATCTGCAATTTCTTAACAGTCTTTGAAGCAGGTCCAACTGTGAGACATTGTAGTAGACTCTCCTAAATGCTACCATAATATGGATAGCTAACTCGCTTCATTACTTTAAACTGGATTAATGTTCTTTGGATCAGGTCCACACTGTTTTGGCAACGATTCTGAATCAATGGTTACAACAATTAAATTTAGCTGTAACGATAATAACACAGCCATTTATAGTGAAATGAGACACTGAAAATCATCATCACTCCAAATCATTTTGCTTTTATTGAAAGGGCCAAAGCTTTTAGGATGATAAAAATGAGTTCCTCTTGGTATTTACCCATAATTCTAAATCATGAGTCATTACGGCTTCAAAAATATTGAAATAATTGAAGCAAAGGAAATAAAAGGATATGCATCTTTTCTGGAACTCGAATTGTTCCCACCAAAGAAGGAAAACCATGCATAGAATTTGCCTGCTAGTCTGGAAAAAATTTAAAGCTGACCACTACAATGTAGTAGCTTGTATTTCCATCCACTGTTTAATTAAAAAATGAACCTTTACCCCATCTGTAGTTGAATGCATATAATAATTCATTTAAGACAGTAGCACTCTGTCAAAATTCACTGCTTTCTTTGTGAAGTTTGTCAGTTTACAAGACTTTCCAGACACAGCCACGAGCAAATTATATTCATACAAATTATGCTGTGTTTCAGTATTATTTCCACAAAACAAAGCAAGTAATTAATGCACATGATTCAGAATTACATCTGAAACAAAACAGTCACAATTCTCCAGGGTACAAAAGTTCAATTCAGTCATTCAAGCATGAACCCAAGTAACCAAATTCAGTTAAAACAGCAATTATTTAAATGTTAATTATTCAAAGTCTCATTTTGTGCAAATTCAAATAGTAGCAGTGTCATGATGTATCAACTCTCTTAAGTATCACACTTATATTAACTTCTGCTTAAAATGTGAATGTTCACCAGTTCCTTCTGTTCAGTGATGTAGTTCCTATATTCAAACTGGATTGTTAACTGAGTACTTACTTGAAAAGCAGAAAGACAAAAGCAGTCTTTCCTATCATCAAGAGGTAGATGCTTCAGATACCGGATCTGAGTGGTCATGAAAAGGCAGCAAGTTGTTGTTGTTTATATATTTTACTCCCAAGGAGAGGTGTTTGACAGATTTTCTAACTCAGGTACCAAAATAAATAACTTGATCATGGGTAATATGACCTTAACTTGCATCAGAGCATCTAGCACAGCCTTTCTCAACCTGTGGGTCCCCAGATGTTGTTCAACTACAACTCCCATCACCCCTAGCTAGCAAGGCCAGAACTCAAGGATGATGGGAGTTGTAGTCCAACAACATCTGGGGACCCACAGGTTGAGAACCGCTGATAGCAGTTCCAACAGAAGCCCTTGCATTACAGAGATCTCCCACTAAATTTAAAGGTGGTTTTTTGTGTGTGTGAGGATGGTACACTCTACTGTTTGTTGAGCTGCCCTCTTTACACACACAAAAAATTAAGACACATCTTTAAAAATGTCTTGCCAACCATTTTTTTGGGGGGGCAAATTAATCAATGGAAAGGCAACTCTTGAACCAAGCCAATGTCACCTGATTAAGATTGCAATCCTCGACACCTGGCTAATAGCCACTGGACACAGGAGTACAGCTTAATTCCAAGTGCACACACATGAGATCATGCTTTAAGAAGACTACTCTCTGCAAATGTTTACCTTGCTGATTTTATAAATTAATGAATACTTGGGGAAAAAACCACAGGGGCTGAAGTCTGAATTAATATCTTAGTCAAATTGGTTTGAAGTAAATTATGTGAGATATCTGCAGTGAGAAATATAGCAATGCCTCTATGTCCTCTGCCTACTCTTCATCATTAAAAGTTAGATAGAGACACTTTTGAAATCCCTGGTACTATATGCTGTTGGCGGGGCAGTCAGGAACTGCTGAGAACATCGAAAAGCATATGATTTCTATTACACTTTGTGGTTAAGCCATTTTGACCTTTCCTAGTTTATTCTCGCAACACAGATTTCACGGTATTCACCATAGTCAGTCCAATCCCCAAAGGACGTTTTTAATGCACACGTTCCAAATTGCAAACTCTTAGCAGGGAACCCTCCATTTACCAATAAATTCCTTAACAGTGAGTTCTGTATAATTGCATTATGCTGGAAAGTGTTGAAGAACTGTTAGTACTTTGACCCAGCAAATCTACATGTATTCCAGTAGGGCGATGCAAGTTAGAAACTGCTCGTGTGGGGAGCGCACTTGCATATTAATAATTCACATCCGATTTGCATCTGAGATTTGATTTTCTCTCTGCAACGGGCATAAGAATCAGTATCTGCTCCTGTATCGGTGTTTGACAAGTGATCAGATAGAGAAGAAAAGGCACACTTGGCCGACACCAGAAGATAAACACAAAAAAGTTTGGTTCCTGGTTTTGCTCTGTGCAAAAGGCTGCATAATACTGAGTGAAACATATCCTCACCCCCTTCATTAGGCATATTGCATTGTGCAGAATATACAGTGGTACCTCGGGTTACATACGCTTCAGGTTACATACGCTTCAGGTTACAGACTCCGCTAACCCAGAAATAGTGCTTCAGGTTAAGCACTTTGCTTCAGGATGAGAACAGAAATTGTGCTCCTGCGGCGCGGCGGCAGCAGGAGGCCCCATTAGCTAAAGTGGTGCTTCAGGTTAAGAACAGTTTCAGGTTAAGTACGGACCTCCAGAACAAATTAAGTACTTAACCCGAGGTACCACTGTACAGGGATGCAATTGTGAGCCTCCAAGCCTCTCTATCAGGTCCTTGGGACTTTGGCCATGTCCCTTCCCTAGACCACACCTTTCACTGGCCCTGCTCCTCTCCCTCCTGGAATGCTTTTGCTTGACTGGAATATGTCCTTGAACTGAGACAATGTTTCTTGGTTGTCTGGACAAAGAGAAGTAGGTGTGAATGGGTGGCTGTGCCTAGAAATTCCTAACAGAATAATAGAATTGTAGACTTGGAAGGGATCCCGAGGGTCATCTAGTCCAACTCCCTGCAATGCAGGAATCTCAAGTAAAGCATCCATGACAGATGGCCATCCCACCTCTGCTTAAAAAACTCAAAAGAAGGATAACCCATAACGTCCCTAGGAAGTCCATTCCACTGTTGAACAACTCTTACCGTCAGAAAGTTCTTCCTGATGTTTAGTCAGAATCTCCTGTCTTGTAACTTGAATCTATTGGTTTGGGTCCTACCCTCCCAGAGTAGGACAAAACAAGCTTTCTCCATCTTCCATGTGACATACCTTTGAATATTTGAATATGGCTATCGTATCTCCTCTTAGTCTCCTCTTTTCCAGGTTAAACATACACAGTTTCCTCAACTGTTTCTCATAAGGCTGGTTTCCAGACCCTTGATTATCTTGGTTGTCCTCTGCACACATTCCAGCTTGTCAATATCCTTCTTAAATTGTAGCACCCAGAACTGGACACAGCATTCCAGGTATGGTCTGACCAAGGCAGAATAGAGTGGTACTATTACTTCCCTTGACCTGGACACTATACTTCTGTTGATGCAGCCTAGAAGAGCCTCCGCGCTTTCTCTCCGCTGCATCACACTGTTGACTCACGTTAACCTTGTGGTCTACTAAGACCCCTGGATCCTTTTATCCTGGAAAGCCTGTGGACCCCCATCTTATATTTGTGCAGCTGCTTTTCCTAAGTGTAGAACTGAATGTAGCCTACTGTACAAAGGTAAGAGTCACATTGGTTGGTCTGGGCCTACCCACAAGGGAATACGTTCCTTGGGTTGAAAAAGATTCCCCACTCCTGATGTAAACTAGCTGGAAGTTTCACCTGAATGGAAGGAGATCTGTTAGTAGGCCTAGCCTAGCTGTCACCCGTGACAGAATTATGCACAATATTTTCTGCACTGGCGCACACTGTAGTCACTGTGTGGCAGTGTCTCCCATTTCACAGCTTGAGGGGAAACAAGAAGTGCTCCCCCACTCTGTTGTTATTGGGCTGCCCCTGCCAAAGCATCCCTTACCTAGGTTGCAAGCTGGCAGCACAAAGTGGTGGTGGTGAGGTTCTGGCAAGATCTCACCAAAAATTCAACAAGATCTCGTGCTCTCCACAAGATGTCGCAGGAAATCACCACTTCTGTGGCAGCAGAGGTGACAGGATGGGTAGAGCATTCATGGGGGTGCTGCTTTGGAGGCTACCACTGCCTGCAGTGGCTGCTTCATCTTGCCTCAGGGGAGGGTTGACCCTACTATGTAGGAAGCTCACAGGCCACAATGGTAATTTCCAGAAGACTGGGAAGCAGAGGTTATTAAATTCCCCTGGTAACCTGTCCATATTCTACAAGGTAGTTTCTCATGTAGTGACAGATGTATCATGACGACTATGCGGGGAACTGGCAATTGTGCAGTCACTCAGCTACTGCCATCATTTCCCAAATAACTTTTCACAAGATCAAGACGAGTTGCTTCTGAGCATTGCTAAGTCTAAAGTGTGGAGCTTGGAATCTCTGATGCTTAAGATATTTGGAGGCAACATGCTTCCTGAGTAATTTATTTTGAAAATAGGTAATTAAATATCCAACCCATCCACTGTCAAAACAGCGCTAAGGGTAGCTCACATCATTCTGGAATGAATAAGAATAAGAATATTCTGTACAAAAGTTTAGCAACAATAAAAACTGAGGCAACTGCAGCCAACAAAACCAGCTGAAAAGCAACAGGGTGAAAAATGAAACGATGAAGCCAAGGTATGGTTTAAATCAAGACAGGTCAACTTGAAACTTCTTACAGTAAATTCCAAAAAATGTAGTAGGTGTTCTATAGCAGGCTTCCTCAACCTCGGCCCTCCAGATGTTTTTGGCCTACAACTCTCATGATCCCTAGCTAGCAGGCCCAGTGGTCAGGGATGATGGTAATTGTAGTCTCAAAACATCTGGAGGGCCGAGGAAGCCTGTTCTATAGGCAGCATACATTGGAGGAGAAACAGAAATAACACTTATGCATTATTCAGGCAGTTTTTATGTACTCTAGTGCTTAGATCCTGTACAATGAAGGAACCAAAGCGAGAAGAGGGATATTATGAATTTGTTAAGTGGCATGACAAATGCCAAGCGTTTATCTAAAAAAGGTTATGTTGGATAAACTTGTTACAAACAAAGTGGCTAAAATTGCAGACCTTGCAGAGAGACAAAGAAGCAAATTTATTGACACAAATGTAATTTATTCTTAAAAGCATTGGCTCAAACAGAAGCTGTATCACTGGAAATGATAAGTGTGGAAAGGCCTCTGTCCCAATACTCTAGCCATTTTTACTGATTGTTAAAACAAAAGAAAAAATTGCTGTTTTTTGCAGTTACTATTTTAGTTAAAGAAGTTTGCTATGTTAGTCTGTTGTAGCAGGGGCAGGAGGGTGGGGTGGACTCAGCAAGTCCTGAGGCACTTTAAACCAATGGCAATTTTAGGGAATAAATGTTTGTGGTCTAGAATCCATGCATCATATTGAAGCATCTGATGAAGCAGACTAACACATATGACATAATGAATGCATTCATCTGTAAAATGCCAGAAGAGTCACTGACAATGATGATGTATTGGCTTTTTAAAATAATTTTTACCATTTATTTTTTTTAAAATAAAAAGCTGGTAAAATGTTCAAAACAGACAGACAGACAGACAGATATAGATCACAGATTAATCATAAGAATCCTTTGTTTCCTTTTTTTTTTTTTACAAGGCTCAGCAAATACAGTGGGAAATACTTGGAAGGTCGATTCCTGCTATGAAGAATTCCATATA